CGAAAGGCTAGGACTTCGGAAGACAAGCCTCCTCTCGTTATGTTTGATGAACATGTGTGACGAGTCGGGTTAATTGAATGCTGTACGTGAAATAGAGCATGCGTACGCCTTGTGCATTAACTCTTGAGACCGTTCATGGACATCTCCATTCATCTATAGTCGCTTCGCAGAACAAAAGACATGGCACCTATCAACCGTCTTGCAGAATGACTTTCACTTCAGATTGCGACTCTGCATCGTCGTAAGTGGCAGCTTCAACAGCATGACGAGCGCAATCACTCACCTCCAAGTAGATCGGCCAGAACCATGCCCTCATCATCTACCATCAACTTTGCATCTGGGCGCAACATTAGCAACCACAATCGACATATCTATGTAAGCACACATCTGTCGTGAAGACATACTTTTGAAGATCAACTGGTACGACTCGCCCTCCTTCTTAGCTGTCACGAGCTGTACCAGCTTCTCATTCTCTGTATTTGCTTTATACCAGGACACCCGTTTTGGCAAATAGCTGCGGTTCTCTACTTGATTGCGTCCCATGATCCAATCTCCAGATTGCAATCGGCTATTCTTAAGGCTGAAGATAGCTGGCACGGCTCCCAGCTTTGCTTGAGAACCATCCTCAGCGTCTTTTTCGACGTTTGCAACTGGTTTGCCACCGATCTCGATAGTGAAAGTCGATGGGATAGAATCCATGATGTTTGCCTGGAAGAATCCAAGGAGCCACAGAGCGATGAGTCCTGAGAAACACAGGAGTAGGATTCTACCTGGAGCTGCGTTTGCGACTGGCATCCAGAAGACTTGGGAGACCAGGAGCGATGTGATAGTGCGAGCGTGTCGCAGCGATGAGCGGTAATGGGCCGATCGATGTTGACGCTTTACACCTAGGTACCTAAAACTTTAATGATATCTCGGTCATACTCACTGACCTATATGCCAGTTGCATGAATGCCAGCTCGTGTCCGCCGGTAGTGTGGCCGGATATGATTCCGATTCCGTGCAAGTAGATATCGCGATATGCCAACTTTGGCAGCTGGTTTCACATCATGTAGGACTAAGCCTGAGATGTGTTAGTACACCCCACAAAGCTCATGCCAAGGATATCCTCCCACGCTTGGCTCTTGCCTGTTCGGGGTCGCTAATCGTCACACCCTCAAACATCAAAGGGGACTTCTCCGATATCCCCTACGCATTGCCCACGGCACTTCAGGCATTGCCCTCTCATCACACTAGATGACGTGCTCACAATTTGTACGCCTGTTTCGCCCAGGAACGTCTTGGAGGTGAACTGTCGATGGCACCACGTCATGTGCGATCTCTCTTCGCCAGCACACAGTGCATCGACGCGTAAGTAAATCCATGGTAGCTTCCTCTTTTCCTTGACACCAGCGTTTCTGCAACTCTGCGATAATCTACACGAAGTATCGAGGTAGGGAGATTCGCGCAGTCCATTAGATCTAAGTGAATCTTCCGATAACGGCCTCGTTCATGCAACTGGCTGAATTCCTACACTGTACCAAGACAAGCTAATGGCTATATTTTCTTTCCGACTACTACGTCCCACCAATCGGCGATTATATGACTTACACAGCACATGACGGTACCGCCCGAACACGGTGTAAAGGTACATCTTGGGTTTCCCATATTGTCTTGGCTCTACAAGCTCCGCCAAGGTAGGTTGTCGAGTTTTGCCAACCCCGTTCTATTTCTTGTCAATTCCATATCTGGAAGGACTTTAGTTATCCCCAGCACACAATGTCTTGGGGTCTCTACTGGCACCTCATAGTGCGACCGAATACGAAGGTTCGTGTTCGTGCAAGTCACAACGAAGGAGATTACATGTTTTCTCTCCGTTGTATAAAGATGGAAGACGTGCCAGCCTGGAGAAGTCACTCAGTCGCTTCTCTCTTCATCTCAACGACCTTTACTCCAGTCGCTTTGCACAGTCCCCAACATGCACGCCAAGTCCATCCTTGCCGCTCTTGCGGTCCCGGCCCTCGTCTATGGCGCGGCTATTCCCCAGGAACAGGAACTGCCCGAATTCAACTGGGATGAGAGCTCTCCAGACACTTCAGATATTGTTGGTGGCGTAGCCGCTTCCCAGGGTGATTTCCTTCCCATAGTCAGCGTTCAACTTGCTGGATTGGGTCACCTGTGTGGTGGTACTCTTCTCAACGCCAACACGGTCGTCAGTGCGGCTCACTGCTACTTTGGTCGTACCACCGCTTCATTCAGCATTCGTGCTGGATCTCTTGTGAGTACTATCCTCGCATCATATAAGATGTAATTAGACCTATACTTACAATCTCTAGAACCGTGGCTCTGGTGGAACTGTCTCCACTGTCACTTCCATCCGCCTTCACCCCAGCTACAACGATAACACTTCGGACAACGATATCGCCATTCTGAAGCTCTCGACTCCTGTTGCAACGAGCTCCACTATTGGATACGCAACCCTCGCCGCCTCAGGCTCCGACCCTGCTGCTGGCTCCACTGCGACAGTGCTCGGCTGGTAAGTAAAGCTCATCAAAAGAAGGTTGTACATTATGCTAATTTTTCTTCAGGGGTGACACAACCGATGGTGGCAGCAGCTCTACCACTCTTCGTAAGGTTTCGGTACCAATCGTCTCCCGCGCCACTTGCCGCAACAACTACTCAGTTTCTGCCGTTACTGACCGCATGTTCTGCGCTGGTGTCCCCCAAGGTGGCAAGGACTCTTGCCAGGGTGACAGCGGTGGTCCCATCATCAGCTCCAGCAAGCAACTCATTGGCATTGTATCTTGGGGCAACGGCTGTGCTCTGCCTGGTCAGCCTGGTGTGTACGCCAGGGTTGGTGCGCTCACCTCTTTTATTACTAGCAACTTGTAAGATTTCCTAGTCGGAATCAACGGTCCTGTTGGTTGATAGAACGCGCGTGGCACTGGAGTGAAGGCGGTGACATGGGGCGGTAATGAGTGACGAATATGATTATGATCATCTAAATGTTCTCATCAACCTATGCAAGAGAAACTTCGAACAGACAGAGATAGTACACTCTACTTTGCAGCTTACATTAGCTCCTAACAAGAGAGATTGTAGGGATTAATAGTATTGTAGGCTTCTAGGTTCTCTGTGTATGTCTATATAGCTCTAATACGCTTTGTTATAATAGGAAGAAGTACTCCGCTTAAATGAGATATTTAGTTTCTCTCTTTGGCGTAGTATCATCATGATATTCATATTCAAAGTGCTCCCATGGAACGATAAAATGTGCTAATCATCCAACAAGTTCTTCCTCTCCAAGCAGACACCAACTTTGCTGACTCACTGCTTTTTCTTCCAGTCATTATGATCCATCCATGTACTATCCTACTTATATTTCCACAGCGCAGGGCTAGATTCGCAGGTCAATAAGAGCGTTCTCGTCTATCCGTCTTGTCTCCTTTGTCTCTGCGAGTAAATCTGCGCGAAAGCTGATGCGACTCTCCATGTATCATCCATAAGAGTCACTGGTAACGCTTTACCTTCGCACATACCGTGGTCCGTGCTAATACAACACGGCCGTGATGTGTTTCGAGAGAACTATATGAAGCCAACCAACGGCAATATCAGACCCGATCCGCCTCTTTTCTCGTCATGTTGCTCTTCTCGGAGATAAAGGATGATGTGCTGATTGAGTGACTTTCTCCTGTCGAGTCCCATGATTCACCATGCGACTAAGTAAGAGAAGTCGTCCCTAATGTACTCGAACTTCTTCTGGTTCGACTCTGCCCACTCGCGCACCTTCTGAATACCCTCCAGATCCGCCCGCATATGTTCAGTCGAAGTCGACCCATTCAGCACCACAATTCCTTGATCCATGACGAGAGCGTAGAGCGCAATGGGCAGTCCAACATTCGTCGCTTCGGCCAAAGCGGCAACTGGTTTTGACTTGAGAAGAACAGGATTACCGGTCAAAGTCCAGAATGACTGATACATGATGCCACTCAAACGGCAGTATTCACGCAGCTCTACATCGTGGTACGTGTCAGGGTAGAAGCGATTCTGCACCACTGCTGGTTTGACGTTGGCACGCAGCCACAGACCTCGGAGAATGGGAAGAGTGACATTCGAGATACCGAGGGAACGAATCTTGTGCGGCACATAAGTCTCCAGTACACGCCAAGCCTGCAGTGTTTGCTCACTGGTGGGTAGTGGCGAATGAAGAAGTAAGCAGTCAACGTATGAGTCGTCTCCCGATCTCTGATCATGTCGCAAATTCTTGAGTGAGGATGCGACAGATGTGCGTATCTGAACGTCTAATGGCGCTTCAGGGTCGTAGGGCATATTGCTCAGATCTTGGCCAGCGGGAGTGGTGTATTTCGTCTGTAACTGTGGAACATAAACACCACACATCTTGAGAGAAAGGAGGGAAGTTCATACATATATCTCCTCTCGCTTCACGAGACCTTCCTCGAACGCCTCACGAAGCGCGTCCCCAACTAAAGGTTCTTGGTAATGTCGAGGCTGTGCAGCTGTGTCGACGCGACGAAACCCATGAGCAAGTGCTTCTTTTATCAATCTCTTCGTCTGGCTTTTCTTCCAGGCAGTACCATAGATGAACGCGGGCTGATCATCAAACAAGCGTGATTTACGTTGACTGATCGAAGCAGAAGCCATGGTGCGTGTGGTCGATAATGAACGATCGACACAGGGCTTCGGAACGGTGCGATATGCAAGTAGAGAGTACTGAAGTCTAGATGCCATGTCTCACACTCATTGACTGAATCGTGGTAATTCACATGTTAACGTCCACGTCGGGAGTGACGATGCAAGGTACCTGGACCCTGATGACTAAGCCAACGGTGACGCCTGGCATCTGTAAGCCCCACCAAGGTTCCGATCGGACCTCTATCATCCCGACCAGAAAGTGCTCGAAGTACTACGCCTAACACGACCCTTTCTCGCGATAACCGCCTTCCTCTTCCCTTCATATCCCGGATTCATCTTTCAGGAATACTACAAACTAGCCAGACAAAATGGGTCGTCCAGACGGTCCTCGCGACCCCATCGCCGGTGCCGATACACCACAGCCACCTTTCCCAATAAAGCTCCGGGGGCCAGTAGTCAAGGGCTTCGGACGAGGAAGTAAAGAGGTACAAATCAATTAGTCGGCTTGACCGTATCCTCGAGCTGACAATAGCAGCTAGGCATACCAACTGCCAACATTCCTCTCTCTGGCCTAAGCATAGGCGGCCACGACGAGCTAGAGTCTGGCATCTACTATGGCTGGTGCACACTCGACACATCTTCCATCGCGTCCTCCACAACTTCTTCGAGCGTACCGAGTGCCACGGACGATACCTCTGTCCCTAGCAAATCCTCCTCGCACGCCGTCTTGGACCTCGAATACTCCTCCGAGACTCCCACACCATCGACTATCTACCCGACTGTACTGTCGATCGGTTACAACCCGTACTACAAGAACACACAACGCAGTATTGAGATTCACATCTTACATAACTTCAAACAAGACTTCTATGGCGCGAACCTCAGTTTGATGATACTGGGATTCATACGGCCGGAGTACGATTACGTGAGTAAGGACGCGTTGGTGGAGGATATCAGAGAGGATATTAGGGTTGCACAAAGGAGTTTAGCAAGAGAGGGGTACAAAGCTTGGAAGCAGGATGAGTGGTTGAAGGGTGGTGAGGATACCAAGATCAACTGGAATCAAGCTGGGCAGAAGGACGGGCTGGGAATGTCGCAGATGATGAACTAGAGTGATGGAGGTTAGAGGATAGAGGATGCGACCATATCTATAGACGACAGACGATCCCACGACGTGCATAGCGATATCCGTGTATGAAAGAACATTGTTATTATGCCGATGTTCTAGCCATGAAAGCATTGGTATCGCGCCTATGTTGGCAGCTTGTCTACTCCGATCACGCCCTCGATGTGCGCCATTTAACACCCAAACCAAACAACAGCAATTTCCCAAATTATACCTTTCCAAGATGCACATGTCTCGTGAGACGACCTAGGTATCCATCCATGCGTATGCGCCGGTCATGAAAACAACCCCAGAAACATAAAAGCACTTTTTATACTGCCGCTATGACGTGATCGCACATCAGCTGTGAAGATGGCGTCATCCATATTCATGCGACTATTCGACAAGTGAGACGACCTCGAAGAAATTTACCTCTCGTGAGGCTATGTAGGTGATGTAACGTCCAGCCCAATCGCCCTTCGATTATTGCAAACCCTTGTCAAGCACAGGCATAACCTGGGTCCTAATTAGCAGCTTCTCATATACAGAACATTAGGGTTCAACTTACACTCATGCAAACAAGCACAGGCATATCAAACATATCGCGCTTGATATGCCACCAGATCATACAATCGACCATACCATTCTTCGCCCCAAGCCTTTGCATGGCGCTCTCGCCTTCCACCTTGACGAGTGGGTCAGCCTTGACGTCAGAGCCAGCATTCGCATTCTTCATCTCTTGGATGCGATCTATGTCGGCTTTGGTCTGGTATCTCAGCATGTTGACACGCTGAGAGGCATAGCCATGAGGATCCTGGTAACAAAGTTCGGAGAAGTGCTGCAAGAACTCCAGCGCGGACTTGGGATCCATAAGCTCGATGATGTTGACGCTGGGTGTGGCCGTCTCAGAGTCTTGCGCGGTAAGATTGGGTGTTGTGTTTTGAGTCGAGCCAGTGTCGCTTTCACTTGTTTCACGATTCGTCCCAGTGTTGACGTTGAGGTTTGGCTCGTGGCCGAGCAGAACTGAGTCTTTCCAGCCGGTGAGAATGGTAAACTCCTTGTTAATGCCGACAATCTCGCCTGATCGCCGACATATTAAAAATGGTGTACCGACCTCTGCGAAGTGATCCTGCAATGTCATGACTTGGCGCTGCAGTCCCATTTCTTGATGGATCAAGTCGTCCCTATTCAACTCTTCTCTCACTTGCAACAGCACAGGTCGGTAGTTCTGCAGATACTGTTGGGCTTTGGCAAACCATGGTCTTGAATAGTTCTTGTCAATCAGCTGGTAGAGCCTGTGATAGCCCTTGACGTAGTCATATGGCTTGGTGACTCCTTGGTAGATGGCCTTAGTATCTCGTTGACGTTTGCGGATACCATTTGAGTTCATCGGTTGAATTGCTGTCGTTGAGGGTCTGTGTTCGCGCTGCGATCGGTTGACGGCTGGAGAGTGTTGCGCGTGAGGTCGATTGGTGTTGGCGAAGAAAGCTGCGGTTGCCAATGGGTTGTCGCCCTCGAATGTGGATGCATCCGTGGAAGCTGGGCTTGCTGTAGAGCCCGGCCCTTGGCCAATGACGAATGCATGTGGACCACTAAGACTGTCGTTCCGAAGACTGTGGTGGTCATGCCCGGCTGAAGTGTTTGGCGTGTGCACATGCATACTACCTTGCCGCGAATGCGAGTCTTGCCACTCGCCCGCTGGAAGCCCGTTGGGGTTGTATGCCATTGCGGTTGCGGCATTGTTCTGGTCCGCATAAGTAGAGGACATTTGCTGATTGTACATGTTCACAGTGCCATTCATATTATTCATCATCCCGTTATCGTGGGGTGTGTCCACTGCGCCTGACGACATATGGCCAAGCATACCAAACTCGAGCGCCCCATAATGGTTGCCAAAGTTCAGACTTGAGATATCAAAATTGAACAATGCTGGGTCACTTGGATCGAACAAGGGTCCGAATTGCTGCAACTGGCTCTGTTGGCCTTGGGGCATAGTGCTCGGTGCATTTTGCACTGGCCCGTGGTGCGGTTGGTTGAACGGGGGTGAGATTGGCGACTGCTGATTGTTGAAGGCGTGACCGTCTTGCGCAACAGGCAGTTGCCCTGGTATTGAGTTGGGTGGATAAAATGCTGCTGGTTGGGTTTGATTGTACATGTTGCTCTGTGGGGAGACAGAGACTGTTTGGGCATCGTGGCTCGGGATCGGTGTTGGGCGGTTGCCGTTCATGTAGGGATAGTGGCCGCCTACACCTGGCATGAGAGCTCCATCTGGCGCGTCGTGTAGGTACTTTGCCTTTTTTCGCACGCCGTCCATGCAGTGATCTTGGAGGCCGCGCTTGATGCAGCGATTGCATGGTCTTTCATCACCTAGAACATGTCAGCCTTCTTACTGAGTCAATCCGTATATTTGCACTCACCACACGTCAGATGAGCTCTTTGGCAGGCGAAACATGCCCTCCGCGCCTTTTTCCTCCGTGGCCTTAGAGGATCCTTTGCGTTGGGCTTTCCGTTGGTAGGCTTTTGGGTGGAGTCACCATTGCCAGATTGGCGGTCTGCGGACTGTTCAGCAGCCATGTCGTCGTCCAAATCGCTCCTGTACTCGGGCGAAGGAGAGGCATCTTGGGCGTCTGGGGTGGTCATGATATCCCCTCTACTCAACGCAGGCACTCGGCCAAGCACGGACGTTCGCTGCTGTGAACTGAGGCGCTGGGACTTGACGCTTAGTGCTGCGTGTAGCCGTCAGTGGTGATCTAGGGGTGTTCCCGGCAGAATGGTTCAGCCAATGTGTCTAGGGTGCACGGCTGGAGGCGTCCCAGCTGTGTGTTTTAAGGTGCAATCACGCGTGCGTTGGCTGCTTGAACGAGCGCTGCCGTGGCACTCTGACAAGTCCAATGACGAGCTCTGCAGGGGAGGGAGATAGTGAAGGACTCTCAATCCGGCGGGCAGGTATGAGATAGTGCTATTGTGGTACGGGGCCGGGGTCCATGTAATCGAGGGAGCATTCCAGGAGCACACAGAACCATGTTTGATAGCGAGATGCTACCGCGACGCGCTGCCCATGCTGCTGGGAGTCTGCTGTGGTTCTACAAGCGGTGCCGGGCTTCGTGTCGTGAGCCCACAGAAGGTGAGAGCAGCAGCGTGGCAGTGACGGGTGGGGCGTCGCCTGGAGCGCAGAATGAGCGACGCGGTAGGTCAGCGCGGTGGTACGGCACTTGAGAAGTCACGGTCGGCGCTGGGGCAGGTGCGATGGGTGATGATGATCGTCTGTGGAGGCAGGAAGCAAGTCGCGACGGAGCGCGCGGTCGAGGCGATGGAGGCGCTGCTAGGTTTGACGAGCTTCCAGGGCACTTGCAGCGCTGTGTGCAGTTGGGAGTGGGCTCGAGGCGTCGGGCGCGGGTCGTGTGTCGTATGATGGGGCTCTCGCTGCAAGATGCGCGCAGATGCGATTCCCCGCAATTGGCTGTTCGAGGTTTGCTGGAAGTTGCAGCCCACGCAGCTGCCTCGGTCCCTGTCGACCGGTAAGCCGCTGGCTTGGCCTCGCGCTAGCCTGTAGTCACGCACTTCTGCTTCACTATTTGGACATCACTAGCCGCAATAGCCCACTTCAGCCACTTCAGGCCCCTTCGCCTCTCGTCTGCCACCGGATCGTCGCCAATACGTGGTGGGTCTTGTATATCATTGCAGATTGAGCGCTGTACTGCAGAGAACCCTGCCCAGTCACTCGCAATTCCCACCTCAACATCTCATGCCACACAGCGCATACCCAAAAAGCAAGCAGCCGGCATGCCCAAAGTGAATCAGGCTCGGCTATGGGGCATGCATGCAGTATGGGATACGAGCCCTTGGCGCCAAATATGAACGGTTCCTCGTCAGCCTATTGGCGCGCTCGTACTACCAACTATCATCACTCCTTCCCGGTCGTCTACGCTTCGCGAGCTTTGTGTACCCTCAATGTCTCCTTCACCGTGTCTCTGGCCTGCCGACCACGTTTTCTCACACGCTGGTGCACCGCCCTCGGCAACGGTACCATCCGCAACCGCTTTCGGCTTTTGTGTATCCGTTGTCCCTCGAGCTGGCGTGGCCGCCCTCGTGGCGCTCATGTTCCGTTGCACAGAGGTCCGGCCAGCTTGCTTCATGTGGTCTCACGTGTGGGCGCAAAATCCTTGATTCAATGAAAATCTTTGACATGCAAATGCCGTGTCACTCTCTATTATTAGTCCGCTTCCAGTCAAGTCTGCCACATGCCCTCGCCTCGCCTCCGTGTAGACTATGCTGATGCATATCGACTGCCTCCCCTGAGTCGCTTGCCATATCGAAAGAACAAGATTGGAAATCTGCAATAAGTCATATTAGTGAGTCCCACAACCCTCGTTCTGGGTCACTTACGGCGCCATTGCAAGTGCCAGGAAGGCAAGCAGAGTAGTTGCCCACTGGTAGCCGAGATCTGTTCCAAATCAGTGACCGCTCTTTCATCAAGGCGCATCGTCCTCGAGACTGACTGTTGTACATCTGAACACCAAATAGTCTATGACACTAGTTAGCAATTAAGTCTGACCCAACGGTGATGCTAACTTACGGGAATGCCGCAGCAAAGTACGACCGCGCGAAGCTGTTGGCCGCAAGAGCCGATGCAGCGTAGACAGGGTACTGTTCGGCGAGGTCACTATCTCTGTACCCAGAAGTCTGGTCCGATATCGGTGCGTGGTACTTACGGCTTCGACTAAGAATGTGAAGACCCCTGAATAAACCCAGATGACACTACGTCACGCAATGCAGTCAGTGAGCTGCTCTCATTCATCGTACTCGGAGTCTTAGAAGAAGAAAACATACCCAAGGCCAAATACTGCCGAGAAGATTATTGGAACTGCGGTGTCATGGTCAGTTATTATTGCGATTCTGCGATATGCAGGATGTTGTCATACCTATCCAATGAACCTGCAGAAGCCGGGGTGTTAGCATAGAAGTTTCCATACCAAAAACACTCTGAACTTACTGATGAGTACGTT